TATTTATTGAAATATAGGTTGCTATGGGGATACTGGCTCCTCTTACAGATAGGAGCCGAAAATTCCTAAAGGACCAAGTGGACATCGTGAGTGGCTAGGTAAGGTCAGAGGTCATATAAAGAATTTAATTCTCCTCAGCTCCAGATAATTTCTGGTTGGTAGAATTTGCAAGAAAAATAAAAGGTATCCTATCACTATATTTCTTCAAATATAAAAACTATTAATTAAATAATATCCTTAACTTTATACGCCATTAAGAAAGAAGAGTTGCCAAGCATGGTGGCATATCCCTATGGTCTTAGGACTCAGTAGACCATGGATCAAAAATCCTTGAGGCTGGCCAAGGATTCATAACAAATTCAATGCAAGCTCAAGCTGTATAGAAAGACCCTGTCTTCAAAAACAGAAAATGAAAGATGGCATCAGTTATCTAAGTGTATTTTGGTAATATTAAATGTGGGTCCCAGGGATCAAACTCAGGTCATCAGGTTTGGCAGCCAAGTGCCATTATTTTCTTCTCTGAGCCATGTCTCCAGACTCAGAAACTGGACTTTGAATGTAAAATACATTATTTCTTTCTTGGAAACTATTATAAACAGGACTTTGGAAGCTACTTTTTTAAAAATTCAGAGGCTGGAGAGATCTCAGCCGTTGAGGCTACTTATGGCGTACACTGCAGAGGACCAGAGTTCAGTTCCCAGCACCCACTAGGTGACTCACAGCCATCTGTAACTCCTGCTCCAGGGGGACAGGGACTCCACAGGTGTCCACACACATAGTGAAAAACAAGTCTAAAAACAGCCAGGTATGGCGGCCCATATTTTAAAAAAATTCAAGTAATACATGGACCTGTATTTCTGAAGGAACCAGACTACCACTATGCAGTCAGTATGAGGGAACATGACTTCATTATTCTAATACCCTAGGCTTAATTTCTGTGCATTGATATAGCACTGGAAAACACACACACACACACACACACACATATATTCACAACTACTAACTATACCGTTTTGTTTCTGATTTTCTTTTCTTGTGCATTGTTAGTGATCCAATCTAAGATCTCATACACGCTAGGAAAGTGTTCTACTAGTTTCAGCATTGAGGTATATGTCTATCCCCCTCCCAAACACACAACCCTTGAGACAGTGTCTTATTTATCTCAGACTTTGAACTCTTGATCCTCCTGCCTCCACCTTCTGAGTACTGGGATAAGAGGGTATGTACCACTCTGCTTGATATATATGCGGTGCTGGGGATTGAATCTATAGCTTCACGCATGCTAGACAAACCACTCAACATCGGACCCCCAATATTCAACATCTCCAGTTGGCAAGTGAATCTTATACTTTGCTAAATAGTTCTGGCTGGGTTAGATCTGAAATCGTTTTCAAAAGGAATAGTTTGAAATATCAAGTATGTAAAGCAAAAGAGGTGTGCTTTTGACAAGCATCATTAGCTAAAATTGTTGCTTCATGAGAACTTTTGGTAGACTACTGGTTGACTACAAACCTAAACCAGCAGCGTTTCTCAAAGTGTGGTGAGATGCTCCCCAATTTCGGAGTTACCTGAGGTGCATGGCTGAAACACACATTACTGAACCCCCGTTGTATTATAAACAACAACAACAACAAATCTGCATTCCAACGAAGCTCATATTTACTTATGTTAGAACTAGAGGAACATTTGGCCTGATAAATCCATCAAAGACAGTTTGAACAGCGTCTCTAAACAACAGGACTCAACCTCACTCCGAGAGCAACTGGGCACAACTAACTCTGCTGCAGCTGGAGATCTCTGTACCCAGCCCCGACCCCTCCATCCCACCAGGGGGTGAGGGGAGCTAAAATCACGGTTATACAAAGAGATCTCTTTATCACAGCGCCCATCCTATCACCTTTCCCACTCCAATCCGCTCTCCTGAGAATTTCCAGCTGTCTTTCCTTTTCTTCTGTCAGAGTCCCTCCAGCTTAACCTAACTTCCTGTCAGCCTCTGGCCTCTCTCTCTCCGCAGACCACCCCCCGCCCGGACGGCTGCGGCCTTAGGCCTGCGGCTCTGTGAAGGCATCATTCCCTTCCTCGCCCTACCCGCGGTGCCAGCACCCTGCCACCCTCCACACCCCACAGTCATCCCTTTTTCCACTCTCAATCTCCTCCCGGGTTTGGCTGAGAGGCCTGGAGGGTACTCACCATTCCGGCGGTTGCTACCGTCACTGCTCTGGTTGCTAGGGCCCGCCGGGGTCAGTGCGCAGGCGCACCTCTGGAGCTCTCCGTCTTGGCTGCACTAGCAGCGGTCCTTTCTCTCCGCCTTTAGGGTGGCGCGAGCAGAGCATTGTGGGACGGCTGGCGGCCCCCGGGGTCCTCCAACCTCTCTCCACTAAGCAGGTGCTGTTGTAGACAGACCTCAATTACCCACGAAAGTAGTCCATGCACTTTCCCAATGCCAGTATTGCCTTAAACTTGGAACTTTCAAACCTTCTGATAACATTTGCAAATCTGATATAAAAGAACTTTTTAAAATAAAAAATCCTTCCCTGGAAAAATGATGAGAAAAGTTAACTGTCTCAGTCAGTTCGCTTTTGCCGTCTCGGTCAGTATACCCAGAATTAAACTGTGAACTTCTCATTTCCTTACTCTAGATCCCCCAAGGAGAACTCAGGCGCCTGAAACCTGAAGTACACACTTAAAGTATTACAAAATGCTGGGGTTTTTTGCAACTGAGATATTTTTTTCCTTCCCTAAGAAGTCAGATAAGTTAAACAGATGCATTTTTTTGTTTGTTTGTTTTTTCTAAGACGAGGTTTCTCTATGTAGCCCTGGCTGTCCGAGAATTCTGCCTCTCTCTCTCTCTCTCTCTCTCTCTCTCTCTCTCTCTCTCTCTCTCCCCGTGTGCATGTGTGAGTGTGCATGTGTATATGTACAAACAAACTGCCTCAAACGATTGATGATCTTTCTTGAAAGGCTGTTGGTGATATGAATTTAAGAGCATTTAAAACTTCTGTACCTTTGTGACCAAGCCAGAAATTCTCAGCCTTCATCCCGAGGAACAGTCAACAAAGTACATATGTAAACCCCACCCCAACCCCAGCACACACAAATTTAAAGCTTTTATAGAAAAAAAGAAAACACAAATGTCAACAAAAGAGAATTGGTTAGTAAATCTAAGCGTGCAAATGGAATAATGCTTCTACTAAAATATTGCAGAAATACATTTATTCATATGAAAAGTGTAAGAAAAAATGAGGCGGAGAAGCAAACAGACTTGATCTCAACAGGGGAAGACTGCTTTATGGGATCAGAAAGGGACCCCAACCTCTGCCTGGGATGAAGGGTGAGCTCAATTAAAGACATGCATAGAACATAGGTAGCTACCAGGAAGTTACAACTATTTTTTGCCAGTATACTGGGAGCAGGGTGTGCTGTGTTTTCAACACTAGAGCTTAATGTTTCTGCAAGTAAACCTGAAAGATCAGGCCAGGGCTAAGACATTCTTTATGGTCAGGGGCTGTTTTCCAGAACAGCCTCACAGCCTGAGTCAACTACCCAACCAAAAGGTATTGGTATTTTAAGTAAAAACTCAAGTTGCCAAGCAAAACAGTTGATGGGGTCCTCTTCAATGTCTATATGGCACATATGAAAGTGTGCAAACACGTATTTAAAAGGGTATTATGAAGGTATAATGATTGTTAACTACAGAATTGTGTCTCCTCAAAATTCATATGTTGAAGTCTTAATGTGACCGTCACATTATCTAGAAACAGCCTTTAAGGCTAAGTAGGGTCATAACCCACGTCTCATGTCCTTGTAAGAGTAAAAGACACAGGAGGGACCATCAGGAAAATACAAAAGGCCATCAGAGGCCTCCTAGCCTGCACCTTGGTCTTTAGCTGAAGGTTCCAGACTGTCAGAAAATAAATTCCTATTGTTTAATTTATGGAAGCTTATCATGGCAGTGCCAGTTGACTGATACAATGTTATTGCTTGTATATTTCCTGATTGCTCTGATGTGATTTTTTTTATTTAAAAATGACAAATTTCATTATGAGATAAGATAATGAAATCACATTTAAAAATAAGGAATTGATAAAATGTTTATTAAAGAAAAGAAAAACATGTTTGTAACATCTAAACCCCTGTTTTTCGAAAGACCACCATGTCACCCATCCCTACACTAGAGTTCCTCCTTGCCTGACTAAAATCCCTTACCAATTTTGTTTATTCATGAATCCCATCCTCAATCCTAGTCGGCGGCCAGCTCAATATTCACCTCACCAAAAGACATCAACTTTGTCTGCAAGCTCACATGTATTTCCCCTTTGTCACTGCAGCAGTAAACTGACTGTGAAGAAGTCTTGTTTATTGTCAGATACAAAAGAGACTCAGGACAAATGTCTAAGTGTGGTTCCTATTAGCATACCAAAGCACATGCTGTCCTCCAGGCTTGCTGGGTACTGGTAGCTCCTCTCAGCTCTCCTTACCCCACCCCTACACTAAAGTAATCCAGCTCAGGCATGGATTTCTCTTACTCCAGCTTCTCATTCTTATATTCTCCGTGATGAGCTTTCTCGCATACTCTGTGTGTCTCTCTCTCTGTGTCTCTCTGTCTCTGTCTTCCACCCCCCACCCTCCTCTCTCACTCTCCTCCTACCCCATCCTCTCATGGCCTTGTTCAGTATACTGGCTGTGTTTAGTCTGCTATTTTCTCTCCCTGCTCTGGAATCTTCCAGATACTTGTGGGCATACGCTCCTTCACAGCTACAATAAAAACCTCAGCCACACTGTGGAGTGGTCATGTCTTTCCTTTTATGCATATGCTGTTGAAATCCCCACTTTATATAGTTACCATTATGTCAACTTCATATGATGGGACAGTCACTTGCCTCCACAAAATAACTCAGCATGTTTTGACATATTTCATACCAAGAACACTGTGAGCCAGGCATGTGGCTCACGCCTTTAATCCCAGCTGGGGAGGCAACAGAAGAAGGGAAGTTTCAGGCCAGTCTTGCCTGGTCAACATAGCTAGAGTCAGGTCCTAACCCATCAAAAGAGTGGACTGTGCTCAGCTCAGGCTGTATTCCTGCAAATTCTCAGCATTCCACAGAAACCGTGTAAAATGGTTTGCCAGGAAACACTATTACTCTCTTCTCTGCTCCCACAGGCCATCAACCTCCAGAAAGAGTGTCTAAGTCACTATAGACAAGCCTCCAACAGAACGGAGCCCCATGCTAGTTCTCAGGCTGTGCTAGCGAATCCGCCCTCCTCCTGTGGCAGTGACCTCTTATGCCTGAACTAGCAGGCCTTGCCCACCAGTTTCACTCTCTTGCCTGTTCCTATTGCCTTGGCAATTGTCAGTTTGATGCTCTCCCTGTGTTTTCTCTCTGCTCCCTCTCTGTCCCAGAGAGAGACAGAACCATGGCCAACTTCCCCAGATGCCTCTGGCTAGGCTCATTCTTTTATCTACAATAAAAACCTCCCCCTTAACCTGTTGAAGCCACTGAGTTTGTGGGAGACAACCAGCGGCAGCTCAATCTGACTGATCAATGTTACTGAAGCTGCTGTGTCTGTTTTTTTTTTTTCCCTGCTCCCCCCTCGAATATAGCTAACTCCAGGACAGCAAAGAGTATGTAGGGAGATCCTGTCTCAAAACAAGACAATAAAAAATACTTTGAGGGGCAACCCTTTTCGCCAAGATGGCGCCGAAAGCGAAGAAGGAAGCTCCTGCCCCTCCCAAAGCCGAAGCCAAAGCCAAAGCGAAGGCCTTGAAAGCTAAGAAGGCAGTGCTGAAAGGCGTCCACAGCCACAAGAAGAAGAAGATCCGAACGTCACCCACCTTCCAGCGGCTCAAGACACTGCGGCTCTGGAGGCAGCCAAAATATCCTCGGAAAAGTGCACCCAGGAGAAACAAGCTTGACCACTATGCTATCATCAAATTCCCACTGACCACAGAGTCAGCCATGAAGAAAATAGAGGACAACAACACGCTTGTGTTCATTGTGGATGTCAAGGCCAACAAGCACCAGATCAAACAGGCCGTGAAGAAACTCTATGACATTGATGTGGCCAAAGTCAATACCTTGATAAGGCCTGATGGAGAGAAGAAGGCATATGTCCGCTTGGCTCCTGATTATGATGCTCTGGATGTTGCCAACAAGATTGGGATCATCTAAACTGAGTCCAGATGACTAATTCTAAATACACACTTTTTTTTTTCACCATAAAAAAAAAATACTTTGAGTTTCAGATTTTCTAAGGCTAAAAACATTCCCATAAAAAACAAAAAGGATTATATAACAGCTCTGTCCTTTCTTTTAACCACGACTGTTGTGTTTTATAAAAAGAAAGAGACCAGAGATATGTTTGGTGGAGGCGAGGTATAATGGCGGGGGGGGGGGTGCCCCTGTGCGCCCATGCTGGGGCATCCCTTCCCCCTCTGAGGTGCCAGTCATAGGATGGTATAGTAGAGAATAGTTTATTCATGGCATGGGGAGGGGAGTTGAGAGAAAAGCAGAGAGAGAGAGAGAGAGAGAGAGAGAGAGAGGGAGGAGGCCGGTCATGAGCACATGGAGAGGGGGGAGAGGGGAATGGGGAGAGAGAGGGTAAGGAGCGGGAGCTAGGGCAAGAGAGAGAGGAAGGGGCAAGCAGCCCTTTTTATAGTGAGTTGGGCACACCTGGCTATTGCCAGGTAACTGTGGGGCGGAGCCTAGACTAAATGCCAACAACAACAATAAATCGAGTTTATTCAAAACACGTTTTATTTTCAAAACAAATAGGTCCTGTTTAAGGAGAAACAAGCCAACAGGGAAAACAGCAGCCATAATTATTTACACACTGATTCATTCACTCAGCAGGCTATAGGAGGAGGAAAATAGGGTGGATCAATACAAAGACCAGTTTCCGGATAGTAGATTATCTGGGGTCTGTCTTTTCCATGGGCCTGTAGATGTCCACAGGCTATACAAGCATAGAGGTCACTCTTCCAGTTATGATCGTCCATGCCTACAATAAACAGGAACAGCCCCTGGGCCTTTTCCAACGGAATAAGACTTTGGTGGTTGGGTTCCTCCAGTGGATTGTTCCAAATATCCCTCAAATCCAAAAGGCCTGACTCCATGATCTTCATTTTGGTTTGGTCATACCCAAGACTAGGAACAAACAGATCCTTGTAATACAGAGGGACTAATGTGTTGGCCACACAGGCATTTATAAGGACAGTGGCTGTGATGTTGTCCTTCAGGAAAGCAGCCATTGAGAGGCACAGATCACCACCTTTGGAGACACCAAGAAGCCCAATATTTGGGCCTTTCACCTATGAGGAGAGAGAGAGAACAAGTGTAGGGTTCACGGGTGGAAAGCATGCAGTGATTTTATATTCTCCAAGTACCATCCTCAAATACAACTTTCTTGTCTTCCTTATAGAATAATCTATCAGTTAAAAACAAGCCTGATAATAAATAAATTGATTTCTTTTTTTAAATTAATTTTTATTGGATATTTCATTTATGTTTCAGATATTATCCCCTTTCCCATTTCTCCCTACCCAGAAACCCCCATCCCATCCCCCATCCCATCCCCCCTCCTCCTGCTTCTATGAGGATGTGCCCCTCCCACTCCGACCTCCCCACCCTGAATTCCCCCACACTGGGCATCCAGCCTTCATGGGACCAAGGATCTCCTCTCCTACCTATGCTGACAAGACCATCCTCCCCTACATATACAGCAGGAGGTTTCTCCCTATGTGCTCCCAGGCTGGTGGTTTAGATCCTGGGAGCTCTGGTTGGTTGGTATTGTTGCTCTCCCCATGGGGCCGCAAACCCTTTCAGCTCCTTCAGCTTTCTCTCTCACTCCTCCATTGGGAACCCCATGATCAGTTTAGTGGGTAGCTGTGAGCATCCACCTCTGAATATGTCAGGCTCTGGCAGACCTCTAAGGAGACAGCTATATCAGGCTCCTGTCAGCATGCATTTCCTGGAATCCACATCAGCATCTGCCTTTGGTGACTGCACATGGGATGGATACCCAGGTGGAGCAATCTCCGGACAACCCCTCCCTCAGTTTCTGTCCCACAGTTTGTCTCCATATTTACTCCCATGAGTATTTTGTTACTCCTTCTAAGAAGGACTGAAGCACCCACACTTTGGTCTTCCTTCTTCATGAGCTTCATGTAGTTTGTGAGTTGAATCTTGGGTATTACGAGCTTTTGGGCTAATATCCACTTATCAGTGAGTGCATACCATGTGTGTTCTTTTGTGACTGGGTTACCTCACTCAGGATGATATTTTCTAGTTCCATCCATTTGCTTAAGAATTTCATGCATTCATTGTTTTTAATAGCTGAGTAATAAATTGATTTCTGAGTATATAGCCTATCTAATGTTTATAAAGACCAGGTCAAGAGTATACACAAAGGCCCTTGTAAGATAAACTAATGAACTGTTAAATATTTTTCCTAATTTGGTGAATATAACAGCATAAAAAAAAGATGTAAGATTAAGCTCAATTTAAGACCTTAGAACTCACCTGTAGTTCTGTATTGGATATAGCAAGAAGAGCCAGTCATGGACTCTAGGTCCTGGAGCACACCCTCCTTCTCTTTCCAACACTCATTCTTTTGTGCTCCTTAAAGGGCTTTCATTGTGTGGACATGCAGCTTGCAAGTTTAAGGCTTAGGTATATATGTTCTGGTCAACATAGAGAAGAGGCATAGGGCTTGGACACAGGATCAGACATGCGGGAGAATGAGAAGGAGCCAGAAAATTAGAAAAGATCACTAGAGTTAGTTTGACACCAAGCAGAGCAATACAAATGGTGAGAGAAAAGCCAGATTGAATAAGTCAGCTGGGAGAGGAGCTTGAGCCAGAACAGCTGAGTTGAACCAGCCAGCCCGAGTTCAGAAAGAATAAGAAAGGGTGAGCTTCTTCAGCAGCAAGTCTCAGAGGCTGAAAACATTCTAGGCCTAGATTAGAGTGAACAGAGGCTTGAAGCTTCCAGGATTAGCCTAGGTTAGCTGACAGAGGCAGTAAGCCTCCCAGACAACAATTACATTAGGTGAATAAATGATACGTTTACATATTGACTTATTTTTCTAGGGCCTTATCTCTCCTTAATAAGACCATCAACAGTTCCAGATCATGGCTGGCCTGGAACTTGCCATGTAGACCAGGCTGCCTTGAACTCACAGGGGTCCTCTTTGCCTTTGCCTCTTGAATGTGTCTGCTGAGAGTCATCCCTGAACTTCAACAATATTAGAGCGTCCTACGGTTCCTTACAGAACATCTTATCCCTTAACATCAGAGTCTTACAGACTCTAAATGTAGATGGTAAAAGCTTGTGTCTGTGTGTCTGAATGAAAATGGCCTCCACAGGTTCAAGAGAAGTGGCGCTGTTAGGAGGCGTGGCCTTGTTGGAGGAAGTAAGCCATAGTAAATTGGGCTTAGAGGTTTCAGAAGCTCAAGCCCGGCCCAGAGGCTTATTCTCCTTTCCTGCTGTTTGTTAATCCAGATGTAGAACTCTCAGCTCCTTCTCCAGCACCATATCTGTCTGTGTGTGCCGCCATGCTTCCTGCCATGATGACAACGGACTAAACCTCTGAACTGTTAGCCACCCCCAATCAAATGCTTTCCTTTATAAGAGTTGCTGGGGGCATGGTGTCTCTTCACAGCAATAGAAAAGCCTAACAAGCCAGTCTCATTTAACTTACACTTACTGTAACTATTTAAAATAATTGTTCTGCTATCAGATACTTTATACAAACATACAAATTGCCAGAATGAGAGTATACCTGGGGGGTAGGGCACCTACTCAGAGGAGAAGGGGATGGGGAGTGGGGGATGGGGGATAGGGGAAGGATTGTGTGTGGAGGGTGACTGGGTTGGAGGCAGTGAGCAGGTTATAAAGTGAGTAAGTAAAAATTAAATTAAAAAAAAACATAAACATTGTCTTAGTCCATCATCAAAGAAAGTCAGGACAAACACTCAAATGGGGGAAGGGGTGGGGAGTGGGGGGTGGGAGTGGGAGGAGGCAGTAACCTGGAGGCAGAAGCTATGGAGGAGTGCTGTCTCTATGGTTTGCTCAACCTGCTTTCTTATAGAACTCAGGACCAGTGGAGGCCCCGTCCACAATGGGCTGGGCCCTCCCACATCAATCACTAGTTAAGAAAATGTCCTACAGGCTTGCCTATCTTTTTTTTTTTTTTTTTAGTTTTTTCAAGACAGGGTTTCTCTGTATAGTCCTGGCTGTCCTGGAACTCACTTTGTAGACCAGGCTGGCCTCGAACTCAGAAATCCACCTGCCTCTGCCTCCCAAATGCTGGGATTAAAGGCGTGCGCCACCACTGCCTGACTGCCTACAGCCTGATCTTACAGAAGCATTTTCACAATTGAGGCTCCCTCCGATCTGATGACTCTAGCTTATGTCAAGCTGACATAAAACTAGCCAGCACAGTGACATTTATCACCCTTACAGCATTGATGAGGGTCCTTAATATTGTCAAAAACACCATTCCTATGCCAGTGTCACCAATGCTCTCAAAGATGTCTCCTTTTAATGGAGCTTTCCCACTATAAACTTATATCAATGTTAGTAATGGGGAAAAGGCAAGCCTCCGAGATGTCCTCAGACAGTTGTGGAAGAATCCAAGGTTAGCAGTTTCTTATTGCTTTGGGAGTTATGGTGGTTACAAAGGGAAACAGGTAAGTCTTAAGAGACAGGAGAGATGGGCAGAAATAGGAATAATCTTAGCAACAGTTGAGGGATTGCTTGGGTCTAATTCCCATTGTCCTGGCTGGGCTTTTGGCCCGCCTGAGTCCACTTCTCCCTCCCTTGTATTCAGGCCAGCTCTGGAACCCACCTGGGGATGGTGTAGCATAAAGGCCAAGGCTTCTTCAAAGTACTCCAGGCATACATCGCTCAAATATTCAGGGAGGTCTTCAAATCGGAAATAAGCCAGAGCAAGCACAGCGAAACCATGCCCAGCCAGGAGGCTGCCTCTGTATTCACATAAGCCACCGACACTCCCATCCAAATCAATGACCCCAGGGAACTGGACCTTACCTGCGGAAGACCACACATCATATCACAAAAGGCTTTAGTACAAAAAATATTGGGGGATTCAGATTTTTGGCCATCAGCAAGAAAAAGTCTCTCTCTCTGTCTCTCTGTCTCTCTGTCTCTCTCTCTCTTTCTCTCTCTCTCTGTCTCTCCCCCCCCCCCCCCGCCCCTTGGGAGTCCTGGCTTTATTACACTGTGTAAGGTGTCCTAGAACCCTTGATCCTCATGCCTCTGCCTCTCAACAGTGGACTTACAGATGTGTGGCACCACATCTGGCTATTTTGTTTTGTTTTGGGACAGAGTCTCACTATGTACCTCTAGCTAGTTTGGAACTCGCTATATAGAACAGACTGTCCTCAAACTCAGAGATCTGCCTGTCTCTGCCTCCCAGGATTAAAGGCAGGCACCACCATGTCTGGCTAGTTTTAATAAGCTACAGAGAAAAGAGAAGTGTAACAAAATATCTCCCCTACCTAATTTGTCACAATAATAATAAGTAAAGTTTAAAACTAACACACATCTTCCAACAACTTTTTTTTTCAGTTTCCTTAGAAAATATCTAAAATGTTTTATGGGTATAAAACGTTCTTAGGTCCACCAGGGATTACTAGAGGATAGTCCTATCTTCTCGTCATCTGTTCTACCTTTAAAGAAGGGCACTGTACATTAGCTGAGTTGTTTTGGCCCCTGAATACTTGTATATGCTGTTTCTTTTGCTGACTGTACTATTCTCCCTCTCTTCTGATTTTGATGTGCTCAACTTCATAATTTGCAACTTAGTGTTAGCATTCTGTCTAAACTCCACCCCCACAGTTACCTGGCAACAGCCAGGTAGGTCTGGCCCACTATAAAAGGGGCTGTTGCCCCCTCCTCTCTCTCTTGATCTCTTGCCTCTTGCTTCTCCCTTCCACCACTCTCCATATGCTCATGGCCAGCCTCTGCTTCTCTACTTTCTCTGCCTCTCTCTGCCTCTACTACCCTCTTAACTCTCCTCCCCATGCCCTGAATAAACTCTATTCTATACTATACAGTCGTATGGCCTCAGGGAAAACAGATGCCTTGGCATGTGCCTGCTGAGACATCCAATTCCCCCATACCTCCCCACATACCCATAGAACATAATCTCTTTATCTTTATCTTTTTTTTTTTTTTTTTTTTTTGGTTTTTTAAGACAGGGTTTCTCTGTGTAGCCCCGGCTGTCCTGGAACTCACTCTGTATACCAGGCTGGCCTCGAACTCAGAAATCCGCCTGCCTCTGCCTCCCAAGTGCTGGGATTAAAGGCGTGCGCCACCACCGCCCGGCTTATCTTTATCTTTTTATAAACACATCAGATAGTCTTAGACACATTCTCACCAGCACCTTAGCCAGTATCTCCCTCTCCGAGGATCTGCCACCGTGTATTATAGGTGTAAGAATAATCCTATTGGGCTATAAGTTTTGCCCCAAATATTGATAGGTCATGTCTTAGTTACTTTTCTTATTCCTTTGATAAAACACCATGACCAATGCATCTGACAAAAGAAAGCATTTAATTTGGAGCTCACAGTTTCAGAGGGTTGTAGTCCATGCCATCATGTGGTTGGCGGGGGAACTCTGGAGCAGTAGCTGGGAGCTCAGGGCTTGATCCACAGGCACGAGGAGGCAGAGAGAGCTGAGAAGGGTGCTGCCTTTTGAGACACACTTCTTTCAACAAGGCCATACCTCCCAATCCTTTCTATACACTGATGGAGGCCATGTTTATTCAAACCACCACAGGCTGAAGAGGTCAGCTCAGGGCCTTTGGAAAATTCCAACAGGCCCCAGAACACGTAGGCACCCCTCCCCTCTGGAAGGGAGAGGTTGATTACATTCCTCAGGAGGACCACAGGGGAGACAGACTGTTAGCTGCCCTCCCTCCCCGCCACCAGGCAGATAAGGGAAGCCCTCGATAACTCATTCCCTAAGGACCAATCAGTTTAAAAGTCACACTGTAAAGATAAGCCAAACAGAAATTCTTTAGTTGACCTAAAGGCCAATGTATTAAAGCAATGTGCTCCACACACTGACACTTAAACACTCTCACTGAAAATTGGAGTTATTTTCTAACATGAAGAAAAATGTTGTGAATAAGCACAGCACATGCTTTGAGAGCCATTTTATGATGTACTTAAGTAAAATTATAATTAATTGAAATTTAATCTTTACACTATGGCCAAAGCAGATAAAAATAGAAAATTAAATGTTGTTGAAAATAGAAGCTGGGCAGTGCTGGTGCACGCCTTTCATCTCAGCACTTGGGAGGCAGAGGCAGGCGGATTTCTGAGTTCGAGGCCAGCCTGGTCCACAGAGTGAGTTCCAGGACAGCCAGGGCTACACAGAGAAACCCTGTCTCGAAAAACAAAAAAACAAAAAAGAAGAAGAAGAAAATAGAGAATAATTATCACATATCATAAAGGTGTCAAAGGTCTTTAGTTACCACTGGACTCCCTGGGGGTTATTTTGAGGATATAAATCACAGTATATGTCCACAAGATATAACAATTTTCTATTATTAAATGTGAAAAAAAAAGTCACACTGTTCTGCCAATCATGTTGTGCCTAGTGGCTGTTGCTCTATTCTACCCCTGAAAACTGTATAAAAACTGGCCAAACGGGCTGGCCAGGGTTGTTGCCTCGCACGCTGGAACAATAAACTCCTCTTGCTTTTGCATTGGTCTCCGGCTCTGTGTAGTTCACTCATGGGTCCCAAGTAGCTAAGGCTCCTCAGAGTCTTACAAGGTCATAGTAGACAATGACAATTTCAGGGTCCCCCCCCCCCCATTCTCTTTTCCTTTCTTCATTTCCCTCTTGTTCTTTAAAGTCTTGTGTAGTCCACACTAGCCTAAATCTTGCTTTGTAACGCAGGGTCTTGAGCTCTTGTCGCTCCTGCCTCGGCCTCCCAAGCAGCAGGGACTTCAAATATGTACCCCCATATTATTTAATTCACGTCTATCAAGTTGTTTGCTTGGTCTTAATAAAACCCTTGGTAACATTGTGGTGGTTTGAATAAGAATGGGCCACATAAGCCCATATACTTCAATACTTAGTCATCAGGGCGTGCCACTATTTGAGACAGATTTAGGAGGTATGGCTTTGTTGGAGAAACTGTGTCACTGGGAGTGGGTTTTGAGGTTCAAAAGCCCACAATAGGCTTGGTGTTGCTCTCTCTGCCTGTGGGTCAGGTTTTAGCTCTCAGCTACTGCCTGAGTATCGGCCTATGTGCTGTATGCTGTCATGACGATATTGTACTAAACCTATGAAAAATGTGAGGAAGCCCCCAGTTAAATGCTTTCTTTCACAAGAGCTGCCTTGATCATTGTGTCTCTTCACAGCTATAGAACAGTGAGTAGGATAAATATTCTTCCTGGATGAGTTAATCAGCCATGATGTGTGGGACTGCATAAGGGTATCTTGGTTCATGGCTGGGCATGGGCCTGGAACCCTGAGACTCCAAGGGAGAAATGGCAGGCTTTCAGCCATGTCCCCAGAACCCAGAGTCCTGAAACGAAGTCTCGTCTTCATAGACCTAGATTGTTCAGTCGTAGGCCATTACAGCCCCTCCCAAAGTGCACAGGTGGAGGGCGTGACTACAGGCCTCAGGCCCTAAGGATTTACATACTAATGATGGCCAGAAGGCTGAGCAAATTAAGCATTCTTCCCAGAACCTCCCCCTTTCTCCCTCCCTATTTAACTCAGGTCTGCCCTGAGATTCAGGGGTTACATCTAGATCCATCCACCATCCACCATGAAAATAAACCCTTTGGAACCAAGGACTTTCTCATATCATTGGGGCCTGCCGTCGCCAAAGCCTCCAGCCTTTGGAACTCCAGACCTTTCTCCTGTATGTGGGAGTCCCCGGGACTCCTCCACTGCGGCCCCTTTTCCCACAGTGATGATTTACAGAGCTCTCTATTTCTGTGGAAGTCTCCAGAAATAGAGAAACAGAAATGGAGTAGGTCTCAGTTGCAGGCACAGGTGGTCCCACTATACCAAGCAGCCATCAGTGAAGTTTAGAAAGTGCCCACGAGTTGTAAAAATGACGGATATCCTCTTACTTTGTGCAACAACCACCAAATTTAGTTTCAGAATTCTGTGTTCTGCAGTGACTCTAGTACTTTTCCTGTGGCTAGAAAGGGCACGCCAGGACCATCTTTCTGCTGTTTTTACACAGACTGCACCCTATTTTTCTCAGGCCAGGGTTTGCCAACATCAGCACAGCATCCATTTGTGTATGTGTGTGTTCTGTGAATGTAAGTGCTTGTGTTTGTGTATGAATGTGTCCTGGTGTGTGTGTGTGTGTGTGTGCCAAAAGTCAATACTGGATGTCTTCCTCAACAGTCTTCACGTTATTTTTGAAGACTGGAGTTCACTGGCAGGCTAGACTGGCTGTTTAACAAAGCCCAGGAATCCCATTTGAGCTTCTAGGCTTCACAGCATTTTACAGGCACTGACTCTGGTGCCCAGCTTTTTGCATGAGTACTGAGGACTTGAACTCAGATCTTCATGGTTGCCAAGCAAGCACTTTGCTAACTGAGCTATCTCCCCAGCACACTGTATCCATTTGGAACAGAATAATTTTGTTCTGAGGCTGTTTGGTATTTTCTGGGAAGGTTAGAAAGTTAGCAGGATTGCTGGCCTTTACCAGCTAAATGGCAACAGCACCCCCTCACACACACACACACCTTTCACCCCTGCCACAAGGTTTCCCTATATAATTCTGGCTGTCCTGGAACTCGATCTGTAGACCAGGCTGGCCTTGAATTCAGAGATCAGCCTACCTCTGTCTCCCCACTGCTGGAAGTAAAGGTCTGTCACCACCACTGGGCTCCCGCCTTCATTTTTTGACAAACAAAAATCTCTGCAGACATTGCTAAATGTCCTCATGGAGAGGCAAAAATCATCCCAGGTTGATAACAACCACTAGCATGTTTATGGTTGGGGGAGATTCTGTCATGGATATTCTTGTGGGCTTTAATGATTAGGGAACATTGTCTTCATTTGTGGGTTACAGGCTCTTCGAAAGTTTGATGTGAAAAGTGGCAAGCCACTTTTATTACAGGCATAAATAATTGATTATATCGGTACTTGAAGCTCCCTGGCATTTAGTGGATTTCAATAAACGCAAGTTGACCCCTCTTCATATAGTTGAGGAACTCATGGTGCCTTAAGGAAATGAGGCTTTGTAGAAATTTTACTCTTAAAGATGATTGAGAAAATCCGGAGAGTGGGGACAAGGTTACTAAAGTTATACAGTCATGTGATAAAGGAATCTGTCATTTCAGGACCAGAAAATAGACCAGGCTGTGAGCACAGGACAGAGGGCAGCTCACCTGGGGGCAGGAAGAGCGTGGCGCGCACAC